GTGTGTGTGTGTGTGTGAGTCCTCACCCTCCTCGTTCAGGAAGAGCTTGTTGAATCGCAGACCGCTGGGCTCTTTGCCGATGAAGCGGTGAACGTACTCGGTGCCGTGGTCGTGAACGGCAATAGCGTATTTCAGCGGCTTGACGCAGGACTGCAGACAGAATGGAACCTTGGTGTCGCCGACGGTGTGCCTGAGAATAACACAGGATTAGATAATCTGACGCTCAACTCTTGAAATGTTTTTAGATTCGATTTCCTCCCAGGCTCTGGCTTTATTATTATTCATTAGTGTATATGATACATATATAACACAACAAACATGGATCAATGAAACCGCACCTCTGTCCGTCGACGGTGCAGAGGGCGGCGGCCCACAGGTCGGGACTAAAGCGGGCCAGCTGGGGAATGTAGTCCGCCACCTGCAGCATGACAGTTTTTAAAAATGCGTTTACTGGCTGTTTACATGGTGAGTGGTAAAACAAGCAGACTGTGATTCCGGCTCTTCTCTCTCTGCAGCACAGTGCAGCTGAGGAGATGTTCCCTGTGGGAATAAATGAATGTGCAGAGATTGAAAGTAATCTCCATTGAATTCATTCAGCAAAGAGGGATCAACACCTCATCGTCACATTGTGGTTCAACAGCAGGACTGAGGCGTGAATGTAAAGATGATTACAATGCTAACATATTCATATTAAATAGGAAAACATTATTCTGGTCTGAAGCCAGAGGAAATTAACCTTCACATTTCTGCTAATGGAGGAAAATCACTCTCACTCACTTGCCCTCCAGGCATTTTTTTGGCGTTTTCATACAGCTCGTCGATGTGTGCACAGAAGGGCTGGAAGTCTGGGATGACAAACTTCTTCCTGAAGGCCTGGGTGAGCAGCACAATGTTGCTCTGGACACATCTGAGGAGGAGACAGGAGACGTCAGTTTAGGACTAGAACCATGACCGAGGGGGGCGAGAGCTTTAACCTACGAGGGGAATACGAAGAATATTTCACAGGAAACTGAACTTTTGCTCAACACAGAGAAGCGTAAACAGATCGTTCAACAGTGGAGGGACACGTGGAAGAAATACATGTAGAAATACCAAAACAAAACAATACTTTATGTTATTTCCATCCTAAAATGTCCTCAGAAACATGAACCGGTCCTTGAGCCAGTGCTTTTTTTATTTATACGCAGATACTTTACATACAACTCCAAATAACCAGGCGGTGAGGTCGACGTTGTGCCTCCCTGGCAGTGGGGAGATTTGTGGCTCAGCTATCTCATTGCATCAAACCCAGTGTAATCCCTGTAGCATGGGATCCCTGCAGTGAAAACAAACGCTACACTCCACCGCCCGCTCACATGCTTCGCTCTGTGTGGCTGAGCGCTATAAATAAGCCCAGGAGCGGATGTGATGGATCCCAGCCAGGAGCGGCGTGACTGGGGTCTGTGCGGTGACGACTAAGCGCCCCCGAGGAGGCGTCATATGCCCTGACATGCCGGGCCGCTGCTTGCCAAGCTGTCACCCAGTTCTGTCTCAGCAGCATGTCGTCTGAGGGGGGGGGGGCTCATTCTGCAGAGGTGCTGCCAGAGCAGGGTTGGGGGGGTTAATGATATTTAATTTGACATCCATTGTTGTTTATTCAAAATGTTATTTCTGGTTTCAGCCCCTAAACCAGGTTCTTTTTATTTAATTATTTGAATGTGGATAAAGACAAACTGATCCACTTCACACTTCTTGATCTCGGGGTTTCTTTTTGTATTTTCTCCCCCTGGTCATCCGAATGAATCCAGCCTCAACATGGTGATGAATAATGAATGTCATGCAGTGACCCAGTGCTGTCACCAGCATCAATAATTCTCACGATAGACTGTGATGAAAGATTGATGTGGACAATAACAGCGGAAGAGAAACAGGGACTTTACTTAAAGGGACCACTGACAAATATTTTAACGTGAAACTTTCGGACAGAAACAACTGAGAATCTACCGAAAACTTTACATCCACTTTGTGCTTCGATTTAAAAGCAACCTGAAAACCTACTTTTTGAAGAGGTGTCTGTCGAGCGCTCCGTCAGACGTTTGCTTCAAGGTCACCTTCAGCATCTCCATACATTCTTTCAGCCGGGGGTCTCCTGTGCGAAGCCCTGTGGCTTTAAGAGCCTATAGAGAGGAGGAGGAGGAGGAGGAACATCATGATTGAAGCGGCCTGACAACAAATCAATGAAGCTACGAGCCGTGAACTGAGACTCCTGAAGAGGCTAAAGAGAGGGGGTTCACTGCTCGTAAGTCAGCCGGGGAGACATTTAAACGGTGATTACGCACATTCGCTGTTTACAGCTTATTTACAATGTGCATATTGATTTACATCAAATACAACAAACACACTTGTAAATATATCTATATCGTAAATTCTGCAGATTTAAATATTTGTTTTCCATGAATCTTCACTGCACCCACTTTGATTTTTCTCTCTTGTATTTAAAATGTCTTCATGATCTCTCTCTCCTGCTTAATACTGCATAATAAACTATTTTCATAGCTCTGCTGTCACAGTCGGTTGTTAATGCCTCATAACTCACTGTGGTGAATTTGTGTGCAGGGATTTTCTCTTGGCCCTCAGCGATGGTGTAGAACAGCAGGTCCTCCAGACTGGGCAGGATGCCTGCTTTCCTTCTCCTGCAGGACGGACAAATACAAACACAGAAAAAGCAAGTGAGGCCCTCTGAGGAAGACACGTGGAGGGGAAGGGCAGCAGAGGGAGAAGAAAAGCTTTTTGACTGCAAGGAGAAGCGGTGAGTAGAGGAAAACGTGACCTGACACTGGCCTTACTGCAGTACAATCAGCTGCGGAAAAGGTTTTTCCAGATGAACTTGACGTCAGAAAACACGGCATGCGAGTCTCTGCTCTGTAAAACTTACAGTACATTAAAGTTTTAGTTTCAGATTAACGTGTGGTAACATTTCCAGAGATTTGAATGCTGCAATAAGGCCACCGTAATGAAAGCTGTTAACAGTCTGCACTGCTAGAACACCAGCCAGGAGTTTGTTCAACAAGCCGATTAACCACTAATCTAACCAAACAACACATCACATCTTTTTAATACATGGAATTACTTTTATTTCTCCAGTGAAGGTTTGGCTAAGTCCTGTGGGCAGTGTGGCAGCACCGCCGCAGCACAGACACACCTGAAATATTCAAACTGTTTCACGACAGAGCCTTAAGGTATCTCTGTGCTGCAGCGTCAGTGCAAATCACCCGAGTAAAAGCCCAGTCTGTGAACTGTGACGACTGGACCTCCACTGTGGCACATGTGACTTGGAGGCTTGGCAGAGCCCCTGGCAGACCGACGGCACGTGGTTCTGGTCTGAGGATTGATCTAGTGTGATGTTCTGGCTGGTGTTCTGAGCAGTGTTTCCACACCGAGTTGTCTCTGGGAGGAAAGTTAGTCGTGTGTCAGGAGGGCGGACGCGATGACCAGCTCACAGCAGGCTCTCTGCTATGATTCATATCAACACCAAATTGGATTTGAGCAAAGCTCTGGGTGCCTGGGCATGATGTCCTGCAATGCATCATGGGCCACTGACTGGCCTGCGTGCTAGGGGAGGCTCCTCTCAGCAGCCAACCAGAAAAAACTGATTTCGGACCCTTGGAGAGACCAACTTTATTCAGCTTTTAGGCCGAGTTCCACTTTATGTCTCACGTCAGAAATTCTGAACAAGAGGATTGTAAGTGAGCTGCCGAGTTTAAATCAAACAGCGCTTTGACAGTATCTGTGGTTGTGATGCAACCATGTACTTTCCATCAATATATTTCTGTCTGTAACTTGGTTTTACATGGACAAAGTCAGAATTCATGACTTTTCAACATGTGTGGAACGCAGCTTTAAAGGAGACATATTCTGCTCATTTTCAGGTGAATCATTTTAACTTGTCCATCACTACAGCTCCTGTTTTCAGCCTCTTGGTTTTAGTTTTTTTAGTCTCCCCCTCCTGATAAAAAGCCCAGGCTGCTCTGAACAATAAGAAAGAAAAAAAGCATCATACGTCTCCTTTAACACAAAAAACAAATCTCATGCCGTCTGAATCAGCATGTTGTTGCGTCCTCTGATTGTTTGTCAGCGTGGTCCGTCTCTGACCTCCTTAATGGACAGTTGATGCCTGCTGGTGAGGAAGGAATACACATCAGAGAGTGTGTGTGTGTGTGTGTGGCCGTGTGTGTGTGTGGAGGGAGGAAGAGGGGGATGACAGGGGGTGAGGTAGAGGGGAGGGGATTCAAGCGCAGCCTCTGGGAGGAAGTGAGGTCATTTCAAGGTAAAAGCAGTTATTGGCTTTCTGCAGAAAACCTCTATTTCTACTGGAAAGAGACTAAAATTAAAATAAAATTGAAACATACTTACAAATGCAAAGCAAGCAGATCAACAACAGGAAGAGAGTGTGCAGAGGGAACAATACTGAATTAGTGACAGTGGCTTTGATAGTACAGACCAAAGCATTCATGTAAACAGATAGAAATAAATCAAATATCTAAACCCCTCTCAGGCTCCGGTGTGAAATTACACTTAGACCATAAGTAACATCCTGGTTGAGTTAATGAGTCCGCTGAGAGATTTCACCTCTGGGAGCATCATCCCCAGCAGGTTAAGAGGTGAACATCTGGAACATCTGGAGCGGCCTCGTTAATCTACCTCCTCTGCTCTCGTTAGCGCGTCCCTCGTTCTCTGTGTGTTTTTAAAGGTCAGCACACACAGTTCGTCCAGAAGCTGACGCTGCCATGCTGCCAAACACTGCGCTCGCCGTAGATCTATTTTGAATCGAGCTGCACGTGATGTCGATCAATATGCAATGATAGATTTTTGATTTTATATCCGTCGGTTCTGTTCCACTGTGTCCCCTGAGCGGCCCCGTATTTTTCAGGGTATAGCAGTTAAGTCGGTGTAGACGCCGTTGGTCAGTATAGCTGCTGCTGACAGGACAGGTGTAGACAGCTGAACAGAAATCCGACCTGGTGTGAGCTGAATGAACAAGAGTCAGTGACCTTTACACCCTGATGCCCTCTAGCTCCCAGTCTTCTTTTGGAAAAGGTTTATAAAACAAAAATATAAATTAAGCAACCTACTTTTGAAAAGCACTTCACCGCTCACTGATTTTTATTTCCCGCGCCCGACCCCTTCCCACAGATCCTCCACTATCGATGTTGTTTTATTTCACGGACACTTAAGTCGCTGCCAGAGACGACAGCTGAGATCTGTGTCTGGATTGAGTCGTGTGTAATATCGGCGGTATTTATCCGACCCGATCGATGGTGCTGGCTTCGCCGCTGGTCATCACAAATTGACGTGGGGTGGAGGCAGACATGAGACTGGGAGCGTTGAGAGGCGGCGCTGCACAAATCAATCCGTGCGAGTGACTCATCTGCTCCTTTAGGCCCTGACAAGTGCTAGGCAGCATGCCAGCACACAGGCTTTGGTGCAAAATCCGTGCAAAAATGATGTGGGCGGGATGATCTCCGCTGCATTACAAACATTTTTAACCCCTTATTAGCCAGGGCACAGCCTCGGGAGCAGACTGCTGTTGAGATTTCAGTGCATGCGTCCAAAGAGCTTTTTTTTAAATTTCTTCCTCCTGTTCCTTTTGAGTGAAAAGTACACACAGCTGCAGGGAGGAAGCAGCCAGCGTCTCCTTTCCTGCATTGGGTACTTCTGGTTGAAAGTCTGGCAGCGACGTCACTGTAGCCTAATCTCAAGCAACCAATAAGATGGAGAGTGACTCATCAGAGAAACTCGTTCTGGCCGTGTTGGTGCGATAAGTCAGAAGAGCCAGTTAGTGGGAGCAGATCTGTGATGATACTGTTGACATAGAAACACAACCAACACATGATGCTGATAGTGTAAAATGTTCATGACCTTTTTTTTGGATTTGTTGTGGAGCAGTTCCTTGATGCTCGACAGGATCCCGTGAATCTTTTCCTAGAAGGACTGGGAGACGCTGACTGCTTACTCACTGTGACTCATCCTGCACTACAGCTCCTGCTAAACCTAAACGTTGACAGCTGACGATGTCTCTGACACTTGAGTCTCGTATTTAAGAGAACGAGCCATTCTTCGTGAATACGAAATTTGTCTCCAGGGGGAAAAAACAAGATGTTGATGACGACCAGTCAGCAAAACAAATGACTGCGTGAACGTGACCAACTGCTTAAGCAAATTGTCCGTGAACAGAAACAAATGGGGCAACTTCCGCCTGCAGGGGCAACGAGGCATTTTAATTTCTATGGAAACTCTGGCTGGTGCGACGGCTGGAACCACAGCTGATATGAATGTTAAGAAGAAAAAAAAAATTGAGACTTACTTAAGACTTAATTTTCTCTGCAACATGGCAAAAAGATAAATCTTGTAATAGATGTGCACGTTATGACTTTATCTCTGAAAAGCAGGATTTTCCTTCTCTGCTTCTCTGTCCTTAATCCTGAAATATCAAAATCCGAAATAACTCTGTAAACAATAATCTTATCCCAGATTCATCCAATCCATGTTTAAACATCTGAGTTGAGGAAGATAAATACGGGCCTCAGTCGACACTCTGGTGTTTGCAGAGGAAGCATCGTTTCACGTTTAGATTTACATCTCATTAGAATAAGAGGCACGTCAGCCATGAAGCCGCCGGCATACAAACGACCGATACACCTGTCAGTGAAGTTTAGATATTTGGTTTTAAAATGTATGTCTTCACGGTGACTTGTGAATATCAAGCTGCTTCTTCTCGCAGTCGACAAACAGAAGATGAATCTACAACTATGCTGATCATATATAAAATGATAAATGTTCCATCTTCTCAGACCTAAGAACGTCTTTGTCTTATTATGCGATCGTAGGACACGATGTTAATCACAATCCCAGTAATCGGTTATTGGGGCAAAAACTTCAGGAAGAGAGACAACGGACCTCGAGACTCGTTGCACAACGTTCTGAGCAAACATGACGTTTGACCTGGAGGCCACGGCAAATTGTTTTTAGAGGGAGCGTGCCCCTGAGGTCAGCGGTGCCTAACACACCTCCTCCAGTGCACGCTGTCAATTACAGCCCCTCACTCAATGACCTCTCTTTCTGTGTCGTTGAGATTAACAGAATAATAGAACTGAATGTGACATTTAATTCTCCTGCTGTGTTATTATGAAGTTAAACACACTGAGGCTGTGTTTGTTATGGTTATATGATGATGAAGATGATGATGAAGATGATGCTCTTAGCTTCATGTCTCTGAGCTGCAGAGGAAGCTCCTGGTAGTCACGACTGATTCCATTGTCGGACACACTCGCAGCGGCTCCTGAGCCTTCACACCCCGGGTGCTGACTCCCGGTGCACACGGAGCGGTTCACCGGGAGAGCCTCTCCATGCCGCCGCCTTCCAGCTTCCGTCAAACCCCCAACACAGCCTCCACCGGCCATTAGCTGCTAATCGGCTAATCCAGCTAAACAGCATCTGTAATAGTAGCTAGTTCCTCTGCGTGATGCTCAGTGCGGAATTAGCTTGTGAAAATTAACTCATTACATGTTTACAGCCTACAAATGAAAACGTTGAAAGAAAAATACTTACATGTCTTAAAAAAGTCACGTTATAATGTTGTTGTGAATTCGGCATATATTCTGCGAGTAATTATTGACTCGTTTCAATAAAAAAGAAAGTTTAAGGAATTGCTCCCTGGCATCACCGCCATGTTAAATTCCTATGTTTTCCTATGGAATTCGGCTACCAGTGCAGCTAGCGGCTAACGCGCCCTCACACCGGGGGGGCTAACGTGACTCACTTCTCCGTTGACGACTCTTTGGCGGCTTCATTGTGGCCGTCGCCCTTGGAGCAGAAGCCCCGGACGCCGTGCTGCTTCCTGGCAAGGTGCTGCGGAGCCCTCCACCCGGCGAACGACCTCCCTCCGCCCGGCGACCTCCCTCCCGGAGCGCCGGTGCTGCCGAGGCAGGCGGCGGCTGCAGGTGCCGCTCTCACCCCGCCTGCGAGCGTCTGGAACAGCTCGTTGAGCACCACCGTGGACCGGAGGTGCAACATGTCTGGATGTGGAGGAAAAGAACCGGGACGAGCGAGCACCGTGACCCGGGTGAGGAGCTGATGACGAGCCGCGGTACCGGAGAAAAGCGTCGGTTCTCCTGTCGGTGTTAACGGTCCTCCGCGGCACAACCTACCTTACTGTCAGCGAGAGTTCTGATTGGACTGCGGAGACTAGTCCCTGCACCTGATTGGCCGGGAGCGCTGTCAATCATCAGAGCCCGTCTTTCCTGCTGGAGCTCTAAATAAAACTCAGATTTTTATTTCGATTATTAATTAATTCACGATTTTCTATCGTTTTAAATTCACAGTTTATAATTAAAACGGACACAAATAAATCTTATGTTTCATCTTATCACAGCAAAACAAAGGAAGTGAATGAGATTATGCAGGAAAATCACGTTGAAAGAAGTAAAACAA